CTCGGCGCTCTCGCTTTGGGGCTCGGGGGCCCGCGGGGGGCCCCTGAGCGGCCCCCGCCCCAACATGACGGACCAGGAGCTCTTCTGGGGCGCCGACCAGTACGACTTTTCGGTGGTTCTGCCCGCCGCTGGGATGGACTGCTTCTGGCACTTTGCGCACCACGGGGAGAAGTTCTACCTCAGCTTCGTGGTGAGAGTTTGTCGCTTCTGCCACTTCGGCGTCGCCACTCGTACGCGTGCTTGGAAAATTTGCAATCCGGTCTCAGGCCGGTGTACTTGTGGGCCACAAGTGGAACTCAGAGCGTAGGGGGGGGGGGGTCGGCTGCACTAGCGTTTTTGTGGTTGCGTTCAGGTGCAGTGGGTGACGGGCGTGGGCCACGACCGCCACCTGTCCGTCACGGTCAACGCTCCCAGCGGACTGCTGCTTTCCACGGTGGATGACGCCAACGGGCAAATCGACCTGGACGTCCGCGAGACCGGTGCGCACATTCTTGACGACCACCCGCTCTGAAGCGTTTCGATCTCAAAACACATGTCGGAAGGGCACACTTTTGAACTTTGTGTGTGTGTGTGTGTGTGTGTGTGTGTGTGTCAGGCTTCTACCAGATGTGCTTCAGCAACTTCCACAACCGCTTCGGCAGCATGCAATTGTCCCTCAGCTTCGGCGTTTACTTCGAGCAGGCCCCGCAAAAACAGCAGCACGACGCCGCCGACAACGCCAAGAAGCTCAACGACACGCTGAGCATGATCGAGGTCTGCCGCCGCCAACAAACGGAAAAATTGCCTGATTTGTCATCGTTCGGGGGGGGAAAAAAATGAAAAAGAATTGAAAAGGGGGTAGACAAGGATTTGGGGGCGCGAAGGCATGCTCGTTTTTAAAGCTCGTAGGAGGGCTAAAACTTGAAAACCATTTGAATTTTTTTTTTTTTTTTTAATTGGTGAATTAGCAAAAGGGGAGCAGGGTGGGCTGGGTCAGTCGTCGGGGGCGGCGATCTCAAGGCAACCACCAGAGGGCACCCGAACGAGGCAGGTTGCCACTGAATGTGAATGAAGAGAAGATGGCGATTGTCTGTCCGTCCCCGCCAAAGCCCCCGTTGGCGATCGCTTCTGATTTTCAGTCTCCAGAGATTCACAGGGTCCGAAACGTTACCCCCCCACCCGCGGGCCCACGCACTCATTGGCCAACCACCCACCACAAATGGGGGCTGGAGTGTATGAAAATTCAGGCGAGTCGCCACTCCGCGAGCAAGCGGCAACATCCCTAACTTTGTCAAGTTTGCTTTCAGGCGTCGGCCCGCCGCGTGGAGAACGCCGTGTTCCACATGTTCCGCCACTACAACGCGGGCCGCCTGCGCCGCGGCGCCGACGACTTCTTGCTGACGTCCAAGCGGCGCCGCGTCGGCTGCTGCTCGGCCTCCCTCGCCGTCGTGATCGTGCTGGCCGGATACGTGCAGCTGCGCTTCCTCAAGAGCTTGTTCGCGCAACGCGAGAACGGCGGCGGCGAGCCGCGCGCCTGCTGACATTTGGCCAACCGTTGGCTCCAAAAGTCAATTGCGATTTGTTTTTGTTTGGGTTTCCCTTGTGCGGGGAAAAAAAAAGAAAAAGATTCCTTTGTGGTCCAAAAATGAATACTTTAGAGGTGTAACAATTTGTCAATGAATCAACCACGAATCTATGGTCAAATTAGTGGCTTCATTATGATAATCAGTGAATTGTTTCGATTCCTTTTTTGATTTCAATTGTTGGAATTTCAGCTTCTCAACAGTCAATACGATCACATTTCTGCAGTTCTCCACGAAGCAGGACCGGTTATCTTTGTGTTGAGTCCAAAATGTTTTCGGCGTGCGATTCATCGACAAAATCATCCAGAGATGAATCGATGATTAGAATAACGCTGAGTTCAAAACAATGAATTGGCGCGTCCGGCCCTTGCCATGCGTACGAACACAATCATAGCAACAGAAGCCATTTTACACCCAAAAGGGATTCATACCACACTACTTTTGCGTTTGTTCCCTTTTTTTTTTCTCCCTTCCCTGAAAATTTTTCCCTTGGATTCATTTGCAACATCTCCACCAGAAACAATTCTGAAAAAAAAACTCTTTTGTCCGAACTTGAATGTCAACGTGATTTTGAATAAATGGATTTTTGAAAAAGTCGCTTCGACATGCAGTTGGCTGTTGCGCACTCACCTCTCTCTTGGAGGCACCTACCTCGGGTCAAACGTCACCGCGATGGCTTCCTTGTCACATGCAAAACGCGCAAAGGAATTTTTTTTTTTGCATGTGACGTCTGTTTCGAGATTTTGGCGAAACGAGCTACTTTATGTCCGCCGTCATTCTATGAGCGGAAGCGGCGCACGTCGGCAAAGATGCGCTTCTAACTATGCAAACCGCCCCAGAAATGTGATTTATTTTCTTTTGCTGTTGTTGTTGTGTTTTTTTTTTCTTTCTTTTCCAAAGTAGTCGTTTCCATCCACCTTCCCCATGCACCTTGTTTTTGGTTTCACTTTGGCACAAAAGAAGACAGACAGGTTTAGTGCTGGCAGCGGACGATCGTTGTATTTGCACGCCACTGTTGGCTTGGTCGTCTTCGGTGGCCGCACAACAAATCAGGTGACTCTTGTTTATTTATTGACACACAATTTTTTTTATTTTTTTATTCGTGTTGATTTGAACGTCCGAATGTTGACTTGGGTGCCAGGCCCCGGTCAGGTGGTTCGCGTGTCTGCCTCGCAGGTTTTCACTTTGATGTTCGAAATTGGAATGTCGAGTCCAAAAGGAGTAGAAGCGTTTTCCCCGACCTCCCGTTAAAATGTTGTCGCGCTCGCCCTAAAGGTTGACGTCCGTCCGCTTTTGGAAACGGAGGGAGGGCGAAATGATGGGAAAATCAGCGAGTACGAAATTCTGACAATGGGGCAAACTGGGGGAAATTCTGGCGAGAATGCGCAAGCGAGATGGTGACCAGTTTTTCCAGTTTCAAGCCATTACGTGGTTGATTTTTATTTGGACTTTTTTTTTCATCATTTGGCTTCAGACACGCTATTGTGATGCCCCAGCATGTGGAGAGCCACCGTCGTGACATTCAATCGTTTATCGGACGGTATCAAATGAGAAAAACTGGCTAAGCTGACCGCAAATCCGCGCCTCAATGTTCCCATGCAGGTATCACTGACTAGGCCACACCCCTCAAAGGCACGCTCCAACGCCGCAGGACATAGGAATGATCCTTTGCTCAAATCCACTTATTTCATGACTTTTCTCGTTTTTTTTTTTGATTCATGATTTGATGCAACAAAGCGCTTCGTTTTACTTGCAACCTGTCTGTCGTGAGAAAAACTGTTCTGTTTGTGATGGCTGACGTTTGACTCGATAGACATTCCAGGCAAGGCGGAAACCGAGCAGCCAAACATGAGCGAGGTGAGAACAAGCATGTGACGTGTTTCGTTTGCGTGTGTGGAATGAACATACAACGCCTCAGCGTCTTTGCAATGTCTTCAGTGTGCAACAAAGAAAGGAATGTGGGGTGGGGGGACTGAGTGTGTGTCTTTGTTGTGTCTTTGAGGGGCATACTTTCAGTTTTTATGTCTCTGTCCTGTCGGGTCTCCACGTGTACCGTATTTTCCACACTAAAAGGCGCACTGGATTATGAGGCGCAATCTACAATGCATCCACGAGATGGAGCTACGCTCAAGAAAACACCAACAGAACGATCAGCCGTCAGTAAAACGTTTTTCATAAAGCAGCGACACAGTTCACTTCACCAACAGCGAGTTATAACATTGACTGGTGAACGTTGAACTCTCTTGCCGCTGCTGTATTTCCGTGTTCAACCGCGTAACCCGAGCGCCTTAAGTTTGAACTCTGCGTTGCCAGCGTGTCTCGACCAAAGGAGCCATTTTGGGGCTCGAAATATTACCGTAATGACCATACACAAGCCGCATCGCATTTTAAGGTGCGCTGTGAGCCTTTAAGAAAACGGGAAGGCTTTTAGGTGCGCCTTTTAGTGCGGAAAATACGGTATTCTTGAAGTCTGTGTCTCCCTTTGGTGTCTTTATGGTGTAGACGTGTGAGGTGTCCATGTGTGTCTTTCGGGTGCGTACGCTGAGTGTTTTGGTTTTATGTCACGGAGAGGGCGATTCTTATTCAGCGTGTCTTTGATACGTCAAAGACCGCCTTTGAAAGTCAAGGCGTACGTCTATCTCAGCTGTTCAAACGTGCGCGTTTGTCGTATTTTTCTTTGTCAGCTGTTGCTGACGAGCGCCGAGCACGTCCTGACCTTGTGCGTGGAGGTGTACAAGATGGTGAAGGTGGCCAAGTCCAACAAGGCTCAGTGCCAGCAGGTGGGCGAGCGCGTGCGCACCTTGGAGAAGATGGTGCGGCGCATCAAGCAGCGGCCCGAGAACGTCTCGCCCGATGTCAGGGACGCCCTGGTGGACCTGGCCCGCAGTCTGAAGGACGCCACCCAGCTCATGGGCAAAGTAACCAAAGCCAACGCCGTGGTCGGCTTCCTCGCGTCGAGCAGCAACGAGTCCAAGTTGCAGGAAGTCAGCCAGAAGCTGAACGAGGACGTGCAGCTGCTGTCCGTGGCCCTGCAGATCTGCTACGGCGACGCCCTCAGGGACGGCCTGAAGGCCATCGTCGACGAGCACAGGATGGCTAAACGCTTGGAGCCCATCCGACGCAAGCCCGTCCTGCGGGTGTCCCACGCCGCGGACGAGAATGGCGGGGATCCGGACGACGGCTCGGTCGGGGCCGCAACCCCCGACGCCACCTCGCTTGTCGCCAAGCTCCTTTTGGCTTCGACGACCAGGCCCGAGAGCAAGGTCCCCGTGTCCCCCTCGCCTCCCGCCACGTTCGTTCCATCCCGGGAGCCCAAGACGCCTGCTGCCAAATTGTCTGAGACCGAGGCGCCCGTGGCCGTGTCACCTTGCCGCATGATACCTGTGGGGGCGGCTCCCAAGGCGCCCAATCTCCCAAAGTCACATGGCGCCCCGACACCCAAGACCAATGCGCCTGTTCCGGCGTCACTCAAGTCTCCGCCGCTCGCCATGCCCATGTCACCTGTTGCCATGATGTCACCTGTTCCAGGGTCGACTGTGTCCATGACACCCATCCCCATGATGTCACCTGTCCCCATGATGTCACCCGTCCCCATGATGTCACCCGTCCCCATGATGTCACCTGTCCCCATGTCGCCAGTCTCCATGTTGCCCTACCCGCTGGTGTCCCCGAGCCCTCCAGTGGTCCTCAATCCGATGCCGATGCTCTACCAGCCCCCCACCAACACAGTGACCTCCACCGTCATCAGCTACAACCGCCCCCGCTCTCATCCCTCCCTGAACCTGGCCCAACTTGCTGCCGCCTTGCCGTCGCAGAGTCACGTGCTTGGTAGCAGCGTGAACAGCACTTATTTCTTTTGACGCCCGCCATCCGTAATCCGCCGTGTTACGCTTCCAACGGGGGGCTTCTCAAACGGGATCATTGCGGGAGAGAAATTCAAGCCCAACACACCTCCGAGTTACGCAAAAACACACTTTCCCATCTGTGCAATATATCCTGTGCAATAAAACGCAAGGTGCAATACATCAAACACATGCTTGGTGATTTGTTAAACTTGGTGATTTCCAGAAATATTTGACTGAGTGTCTTTCGTTTCCATAACTGTGTACTTGATACGGTTGAGGTGCGGGTTCCCGGATACGAGCGTTCGTAAAGAGGTTCACCCGTCGAAGAAATAAGGTGAGAAGCTCGCTCATCCAGTAGGGCCTCAGCACGAGGACAGCAGGAGGAGGAAGCGATCTAAAATGTCCAAGATGGTGGCCCCCGAGGACCGCTAGTTGCAGCCGTTGGAAGCGGCGCAATAACGGTCAAACAAATTTGCTCAGGAACCGCCCACTCTGACCAAGTGCTGTTTCTTCAAACTACACGTTGGCAAAGGCGCATGTATCTTTGGCGCTCCCGTGTGGCCGGGAGGCAGCGCGTGCCCAGAGTTCCTTGGTGGAGTCTCTCGAGGAAGCAAAAAAGGTGGCCAAGGGAGTGGTGAGGAAACTCCTCCGGGTTCTTTCAACGGACGGCTCGTCACCGTGGATGAGGAGGGGGTGGCCACACGGATCAACGGCTAAGTTGAGAGCTTGGCCTTTGGGCTCAGCTCTTTCTTCGCCAGACAGACCGACGCATCATCGGTATCACCGACCGATCCTTTATTTCCTCAATCAAGAGCCCAAGATACAATTCAATACAAATGGTGGTGACATTCCTCCCAATTAAAAATCAGCGCTGGTACACGTGTGCTGCCGAGAAGGCGCAAGCACCATGCACAGATTCTTCTTCTTTCACGAATGTCGTGGCCAAAAAAAAACGCTGAAAATAATCCACATCGGGTTCATGTGACAAAACAAAAGACAAGAACAACAAAACAAAACAAAACAAAACAAAACAAAACAAAACAAAACAAAACAAAACAAAACAGCAAGGCTCTTGAAGAGCCTACGGCTGCCAACGATGGCGCTCTCTTGAAAAAAAATTTAAAAATACTTAATACTTAGACACTTAAACTTCTCTACCTGGGGCAGTATCTCAACTCCGACCCCGGAGAGGGCGCCCTAATTCTTTTCCAACTGAGGACCAGGGTTTGGAGGAGCTGATTTTCTTCTCGGGTGAATCATTAAAAAAAAAAAAAAAGAGTCCTAGACGAAAACCACATTGGTCGTGCCGAATCATTCTCGTCAGGCAACTTGTTTTTCCTCTTAACTTTTGCCAAGCCGGAACTGACAATCAGTCAGACAGGTTCATCCGGGCTGCACACACCATTCCTGGTTTGTGCTCTGTGTTGACCGCGCAAGAAATAAGGTAACTCTTAATTACGTCATGGAAGATTCATGATCTTATTTATTTATTTAGTGATCGATTGATTGATTGATTGATTTATTATGTCCAGATGTTTCCATTGGGCTCAACATTTTTTTTTTTTTGGTAGCTTGCGCAATTGTCTCACGTCTTTGAGGTTTTGCGTTTGAGTCTCGGCCCCAGCCGACATGCCCACAGTGTTTGTGTGACGCATGTCAGCCTGTTAGTTTCGTCGAACTCTCGAAACGCTCCTGATGAATTTCCCCCTAAAACTTTGTATAAACTTCATCACTTTATTTGTAAATATTTTTTTGTCCATCCATCCATCCATTATGGGTGCTGTTTATCATGGTGGAGGTGTGGGGGGGGGGGTGCTCGCGGGCGTCCTGGAGCCAATCTGGGTGGGTGATGGCTGGGTACAACCTGAAATGCTTACACGTATTTATTTATTTATTTTTAAATGACACCACCCCCCAAAAAATAAAAATAAAATAAAAATTCTTTCAAAATGATAAAGATTCAATACTCTATCGGTTCTCCATGAAAAACGGGGAAGTGGCGGGAAGGGAAAATCCCAAGTTTGAAAAAACATTGAACCGTAATATGCGTGCTACACTGCCGTTTTACGTTGTAATACCAGCAATCACCACCAGACGGCAGACATGTTCTAGTTGCATTTACGCTGGGTCTTATACCGTCACATGAGGAGGGACTCGGCAGAGAGAGAGAACTCTCGATCACGATCGACCTTTTTAATTGTGTGAATAATTGTCAGAACACACAAAATGTTTTGCTCTTAATTTGCATACCTGACATTTGACTTACTCGACGTTTCAGGCATGTCTTGGAAAACAGAAGAAGACAACGTGAGTACACATCGCCATCGACTTTTGTGTTTGCGTGCGTTCTTCAAATCGCCGTTTGAGTGTGTCAAATATTAGTCGTGCCTCTGTTGTGTCTTTGAGGTGTCAAAAATTCAAGTGCGTGCGTGTGTGTGTCTATCAGGAGGTGCTGCTGGCGGATATCAACTTTATCCTGGAGAGGTGCAACGAGGTGTACAATCTGCTGCCCAGGGCCAAGTCGCACAAGGCTCACTTCCAGGAGGTCTACGAACATGTGCGTGTTTTGGAGGAGATGGCGCTGAGCGTCAAGCAGCGGCCCGAGAGCGCCTCGCCTGACGTCAGGATCGCCCTGGTGGACGCGGCACGCTCTCTTGCAACTGCCGCCGACTTCATGGGCAAAGTTTCCCGAGCCAGCGCCGTGGTCGGCTTCCTCAAGTCGGGCTCCAACGAGTCCAAGTTCCAGGAAGTCAGCCGGAGGCTCGGCGAGAATGTGCGGCAGCTGTCCGAGGCGCTGCACATCGGCCGCGGCGGCAGCCAGAAGGCCGTCGATGCCGAGTACGTGCCGGCCGCACGCGGCAAGGGTGCGGATGGCGGGTGGGCCGAGATGCCTTTGGCCGTGCCGCACGTCCCCACGTCGTTGCCTCCCGCTGTGCCCTTCTTCCACAATGCCATGGCATACTATCCCCCTGTGATTGCCCAACCAGCCGTGCTCTACCAGCCCCCCACCCTACTGGCAACCTCCACCACCATCAGCTACAACCGTGCCCCCTCTGCCTCCGCCCTCAACCTGGCCCAGCAATACGCAGCCGTGCCAACGCCGCCGTGGGCATGCAGCCATGTGCCAAATAGTTCGTTACCAACGCTTATTAATTTCAATATGTCCCGCACCACCTTTAATGTGCTGCGTTGAGGTGCAGGGAGGACCAGGATTCTTAGAAAGGTTTCCAAGGACCTGATCATCATCGAATTTATTGTATCGCCAAGCTATTTGGCGGCGCACACTCGAGTCGCACGCTGGGTTGTCGCGTCATCCAAGACCGTGTCACCTTTCCCCCACGCTCCCTTTCATCATGGCATTTTTCAAGTTTTTTTTTTTTTTTTTTAACTAAGTTTTTGCGCATCTTTTCAATGGACCAGACAGCTGGCGTTTCTTTGCAAAGGTGCTCTCCATTTGTTGACGCAGACGTTCAAGTTGTTCGCAGGACTGTTAGGTCAAAAATACTTTTTGTGTGCTTGTTATGATGAATTTTGTGGACACAACGTAGTATTTCAAGGCCACAAACTAGATGCTGTTTTGTTTTTGGACGCACATACGTTTTCTCAACGCAATTTAAAAAAGCATATAATGTCTGTGGTATAAATTAAGATTTATTTTTATTAGGTTTTTTTTTTGAGAAATAAAGGTGTAATGTGATGGGAATAAAATTCTGTATGTTTCAAGAAAAGTATCTGTTATTTTTACAAGAAGGTAGAAAGTTCTGTTTTTCCAAGATAGCTCATAGCTTAGCATGGGCTTAACATTCGCTGGGCATTTGCGTGTGTTGACCCACTGTTTTATTGGACGTGTAAGACCTCCTGCCAACTACCAGCGATCTTTGCTGCGCGTAACAGGAAGTAAGTGGCGCAGCCCGGGAGAAACTCACTTGTCTGCAGTTACCGATCGTCGATCCTGACGACTTTTCACGCTTTTGCTTTGGGCTCAGCTGTGCTCCAGAGTCAGCGACGACCACCGGCGACCCCGCGGGCCCGCCGTGCCATGAGATGAACGGCGCCGGTAAAAGTTGACTTCCGTACCGGTAAGAGGACGAAGAAGAAGTGGTTTAGCGGCTAGTGGTTAGCACTGACTTGTAGTTAACAACTGCGAGTTAGCAAATAAATTTAGCGGGTCGTCGTGTAGCTTGTCAGACTGCCCCACAAGTTTTGGGTGGGGCGGCAGCTCACCTTTCGGCACCGGTGGGCTCACTCCCCCTCGACCCCCAATGCATTTAGGGTGGCCCTCAATTATGCGTCAATTATGGAGTTTAGCTTTTCATGCCTGGGAGGCTGCACATTTAGTTTGAATTTGAAAAAAAAAAAAAAACATTTAACATGTTTGCGAATCAGAAAAGGTCGAACTAATGATCATAATATGGGATGTTCGATTCCTTTTTTTTCCTAGAACGAGACCAGTACGAGAACTTTACAATATCGACACCATGTAACAATACCTCTTGTACTTTTCATCCTTGACATTTCCCTTTCATCCGATGTCAGATCCTTTTAAAGAAAGACGTTTCATTTATTTCTGACAAAAGGCAGACAAGTTACATCGCAATAGAGAATTTGATATCAAAACAAAAACATCTCGACCTGATTTCGTGTTTATTTGTACAAAAAGGTGTCAAACAAACTCACTGAGTTCATCTTTGTTCAACCTAAATCAAAGTGCAAAATAATGCAGGTTCAACTGCTAACCGTAACACCCTACATATGAAAAAAAAAAAATACCACAATGGATTTAATAAAAACTTATGTTGATCAATAGTGATCTATTTGTAACCTAGACAAAATATATTAAATGTATAAAATATTTTTTAAAAGTATGAGTTGTAAGAAGAAGTGGTTTAGCGGCTAGTGGTTAGCACTGACTTGTAGTTAACAACTGCGAGTTAGCAAATAAATTTAGCGGGTCGTCGTGTAGCTTGTCAGACTGCCCCACAAGTTTTGGGTGGGGCGGCAGCTCACCTTTCGGCACCGGTGGGCTCACTCCCCCTCGACCCCCAATGCATTTAGGGTGGCCCTCAATTATGCGTCAATTATGGAGTTTAGCTTTTCATGCCTGGGAGGCTGCACATTTAGTTTGAATTTGAAAAAAAAAAAAAAACATTTAACATGTTTGCGAATCAGAAAAGGCCGAACTAATGATCATAATATGGGATGTTCGATTCCTTTTTTTTCCTAGAACGAGACCAGTACGAGAACTTTACAATATCGACACCATGTAACAATACCTCTTGTACTTTTCATCCTTGACATTTCCCTTTCATCCGATGTCAGATCCTTTTAAAGAAAGACGTTTCATTTATTTCTGACAAAAGGCAGACAAGTTACATCGCAATAGAGAATTTGATATCAAAACAAAAACATCTCGACCTGATTTCGTGTTTATTTGTACAAAAAGGTGTCAAACAAACTCACTGAGTTCATCTTTGTTCAACCTAAATCAAAGTGCAAAATAATGCAGGTTCAACTGCTAACCGTAACACCCTACATATGAAAAAAAAAAAAATACCACAATGGATTTAATAAAAACTTATGTTGATCAATAGTGATCTATTTGTAACCTAGACAAAATATATTAAATGTATAAAATATTTTTTAAAAGTATGAGTTGTGTTTTTGACCGAACGTGGTGCAGCTGACATCATGAATGTGCTCATCAGATGGAAGCCATGGAGGTGGATCCCCTCCAGCACAGCGCCACTGCCCCCGCCACCCCCACTGGCATCCCCGCCGTCGCCCCTGCCGCTGCCCCCCTCATCATCTCTGACTCGGGCAGCAGCACTGAAGTGGATGAGGATGATGACACGGGCGGTGGTGGCGAGGGGGGAGGAGCGCGGGTGGTGGTCCCACTCACGCTTCCCGCCACCTGGGCCTTCAGTCAGAGGAGGACGGGCCGAGGCAGCTCCGCCACACAGTCGCCGCCCGTGCGGAGGCGGGTTAGGTGAGTCGACCCTTCGTCACCCGCCGGCCCGTTGTGCCTCGTGGCTTTCTCGGACGCCAAATTGTTAATTTTGTCCAAATGAGATATAGTTCAAACGTATGTTCTGATTGGCTTTTTTCAGGCAGGGCTTCCGGGTGCACTACCCCAGCCAAACGGCGGCGCCCTCCAGAGGCTTCCCTGACTTTGTCCTGCGAGCCCCCGCGGCCGCAGGCGCCCACCAGTCGTCCAGCAGCACTGAGGCCAGCGAGTCCGATGAGGAGGGTGAGGTGGCGCCGGCTGCCGTCCAACAGGCCCCGCCCCCTCACCCCCTTCCTCCCGACAGCCATGACGACAATGCGCGACTGCAGGAAGGTGCCGCTGCGCCGCCTGGTGGGTGCTGCTTTCTGGGGGGTATTGCGTCTCATGTGTGCTTCGCCTTCAACTCTTCTTCTCGTCTTCAGCTCCAGACAGCCAGAAAGAAGGCGACGACGGACCGACTGGCGTACAGGTCAGGTGACAAAAAAAAAAAAAAAACCTTTGACATGGGCCGAGGTCAGCGCATTAAATTGGCCGGCCAATGAATGGCTCGGGCCGTGATTATTATTATTATTATTCTCATCTGCACTTCCAGCCGCCGGCTACCCCGCCGGCGTCCCAAAGCGAGGAGGGCGAGGGCGACACGTGCAGCATCTGCTTCGAAGCGTGGACGGCGGCGGGCGAGCATCGCGTGGCCGCCCTTCGCTGCGGACATCTTTTTGGGTTCACCTGCATCCAGAGATGGTTGATGTCTCAGCGTTCCGCTGCCAAATGTCCGCAGGTCGGTCGCGCCCGCGCCGTGTCCGCGTTTGATGCCATCTACTTACGCGAGGCCGTTCAACACGGGGCACAGAGGTCGCCAACTTTGTTTTGCACCTGAGAGTTCCTTCTTGGCTGCTGATTATGCAAAAGGCCTACCGGTTTGATACACACCTCTGAAATAAATGTGCTCACATTTTTTTGGGGTTAGACCATCTTGTCTTCGTTCCACAGCTTTTCTTCGGGAATATTACGGTTTGGTCATGTGCACAATCATGACCTTTGAACTATGCAAGTTTAAAATGTGTGTGTGTACATATCAGTTTAAAAAAAAAAAAAGAATGGCAACAACAAAAAAAGTTGGAGTCACTGGTAAGTTTTGTCATCTGACTCGCGAACGTTTTTTAGAACACGCCCGTGAGGCGTCTCGTGATCCTTGAGAGGGGGGGGCACCAACGCGTGTCCCGGGGTTCTCCACGCGGCGCCCTCACTCGCTCTCGCGTCTCACTCTCAGTGCAACAAGAAGGCCAAGCGCTCAGACATCGTTCTGCTCTACGCCCCCAAGCTGAGGGCCATGGACAACAGCGCGCACGAGAGCCTCAAGAGGTGAAACGCCCGCCGGCCCCCCTCGTCACTGTCCACCTCCGCGTGCTCAGCTCGCGTGTCCGCGTGCAGGTCTCTGGAGGAGGAGCAGTCCCTGAGGAGGAAGGCCGAGCTGGAGTCGGCGCAGTACAAACTCAAGCTTCAGGCCGTCACCAACAAGTATGGTCAAGCTCAACAGGAACTGCAGGTATCTACTTCCTGTTTCCCCAGAGTCGAAGTCGAGTCTTGCCCCGCACGCGTGACGCCGCTTCGCTTTTTTTGTCCGGCAGGAGATGAGAGCTCAGATAGTTCAAGCCGGCGGACGGTCTGCCGCTAGCGCCTCGTCGTCCCCGTCGTCCCGGGGTTTGCCCGGCTCCCAGCTAACGGCGCCGTACGAGTTCCACGATGCCGTGCTGGTGTCCGCCAACGGAGGCTGCAGGGTTTTGGCCCACTGCCAATTGCTCAACTGCCTGCTGGCCTCGCAGCCGTCGGCGCACGCCGCGCTCCTGCCCGGTGAGCTCGCGCTTGCGTCCGCTTTCTTTTCGCCCATCTTCTCCCCCTCCTCTTCCTCTTCATCCTCCGAGCCGATCTTTCTTGGCCTTTGCCCCTCTTGAGTGGTGGCGTGTTTATTCAGAAGAGGAGAGGAACTTTCAGGCAGCCTTTGCGGCATGAACTGATTCAAGAACGCTCCCAATTGCATTCGTGCAAGCGTTGAAGAAACGCCGTCCTGCAAATGCCCCCGTGTTGCGTTTTCGCACCAAGTGGGCGGGGTTTCGTTTGGGGGATCTCGGCGTTTCTAACATCCACGAGCAATGTCACCAAAGCCATCCACAATGCTTGCGCGGAGCAATGAGAGAAGAAGGCTTTGAGGAGCTGCGAATTTGAGCTGGAGCGAGGTCACCCGCGGCTTTCAACTCCTGGCAATTTTGTACGTACGTTTTCAAATTGGCGGTGAGAGCACATTGCTGACCCCTCGCTCTTCCCCGCTCATGTCAACTTGGACTTGCCCTCTTGCTCCTTCATCTCATGAGCCACGACTGGCCTCTCATCGTCGTCCGCTTTTGTTTCACAGCGTCTTCTGCTCCTTCATCTTTTCCTTCTTCTCCTGGTTCCGCCTTCTTGGGCCACTCCTCCTTCTCCTCCTCTTGTCTTTATCTCCTCTCACTTCTCATCCTTTTGTTTCTTCTCATTCCTTCTCCTGTCATCATCCCACTCCTACTCTGCTCCCGTTCATCGGCCTCGCTCCGCTCCTTCGGCTCCGCCGCGCTCTGACGTCTTTGTGTGTTTTGTGACTGTTGTGCGCGCTCCAGGCTGGGGCGTGAAGAAGGTGAGCCTGGCCCACATCAAGTCCAGCCAGTACGTTCCCATCCACAGCGCTCAAATTCGAGCGTTGTGCTTCAACCGGCAGAACGACGGGCTGCTGCTCTCCGCATCGCTGGACAACACCCTCAAACTCACCAGGTGCCGCGAGCCCGCAGCGCCTTCCCGCGGCTCTTTTGCTAACTTCGGCTCTTGCACGCAAACGTCCCGTCCGTTCCTGTCCGCGTTGGCGTGACTTGGCGCGCGGCTTTCCCGCGCGCGTGTTTGCAGCCTGGCGGCCAACACGGTGGTGCAGACGTACAACGCGGGCAAGCCGGTGTGGAGCTGCTGCTGGTGCGTGGACAAGCCCAACTACGTCTACGCGGGTCTCAGCAACGGCTCCGTTCTGCTCTACGACATCAGAGACACCAGCGCCCACGTGCAGGAGTTCCAGCCGCTGCGCTCCAGGTGACCGCCAACTCTCCACATCTCCATCTCTGGCCCAGCATTGGGCCGCCCCCTTCCCCACCAAGGACGTCACTCGCCGGACCATCTAATATCTTTTGCTTTTTTTATGATGAGTTTGCTTTTGTAAAAATCAACTCAAGTCTTGAACTTGTTGTTTTAGGGCCCCGGTGGCGTCGCTGTGCTACATCCCGCGCGCGGCGTCCAGCTCGTTCCCGTGCGGCGGGCTGATCGCCGGCACGCTGGAGGGCGGTTACTTCTGGGAGCAGCTGGACGAGAGCACGTATAAGCCGCACATCCTGCCGCTCGAGGCGGGAAGCTGCACTGACATCCAGGTGGAGACGGAGAGCCGACATTGCCTGGTCACGTACCGAGCCGGTGAGATGGCGGCGCCGGGCGGGAGGCTTGTGGGGCTCGGGAAGGCGCTTTGGACGACGTCTGGTGGCCGTAGGAAAAAAGCGCGCTCCGTTGACCGTTTTGATCGAATTGGATTTGATTTGGGGCAAAAGGACAATGAGGAACTCTTCGAATTGATGCGGTAATGGCGATTTAGCTTCATCAACAGTAAAGACGGCTTGAGTGACAAACGATTTGCTTATTAAAAAAAAAAAGGGGGGGGCGGGGACTCTTTGGGCACAAAGGAGCATTTGTGTTAGTTTTCACGGAAAATACATTTTAATTGTTCGGTGAAAAATCTTGGAGATCCCAAATTGGCGTCTTGCAAATCAGCAAGTTTCACTTTCCCTAGAAACAATTTTTATCATTTGAACAATTGCCAATCATTCAAATACTCCTATCAGTAAAATGAAATGATCTTCGAAAGGGGATTCCACCATTGGATGACCCGGATCACACTGACACTCTTTCATTTCGATTGTTTAATGCGTGGGATTATTAGCTGTGTCGCTAGGCTAATGTCGCACCCGAGACGTGAAAGCCTTTTCATGACATCATCCTTGCGCCTCGCTCTGCAGGCAGGAGCAATCAACCCGCAGCGTCGCGTAACTGTTGGGACAGCGGGCGGTTTGACTGCTCACGCGCTAAAGTCATCCGCGCTTGTTTTCCGCACGCAGGCCGGCTCCACCCGACGGTGCGCTGCGTCCTGATGGCGCTGACCCGGACGCCGCAGCGGGACGACGGCGAGCCTCCCGGCTGCTCCTGCTCGCCCGTGCATACCTTCAGCGCCGGCTCGTCCTGCAAACTCCTCACCAAGAACGCCGTCTTTTCCGGTCCGCACGGAGGCGGTGCTCTGGTGTGCGCCGGAGACGAGGCCACGCAGTCCGCCATGGTACGTACGTGCCGGAAACGCAAAGTGATTCCAATTTCCAAAAAAGAAAAAAAGATTATCCCTTGGCACGAATGAGTGCCCAAGTGGTAGCCATCACCTTGAAAAGGTTGCGGCGGCCTGATCTGATGGCATCTTTTCATGCTGCCGTTGAGGTGTGGGAGGCGTCCAGCGGCGCTCTCCTCCAGAGGCTACCGGCCGACCTCCCCGTACTGGACATCTCGCCGTTCGCCGTCGACGGCAAGCACTTCCTGGCCACGCTGACGGAGAAGATGCTGAAGCTCTACAAGTGGAAGTGAAAAGGCGCCGACACGCCGAGCGTGCACGCCAATCGCAAGTCGAGGCGGCGCCAGGTCGACTTTCCTCATCATGTTGAGCGTTTGACACATTCGGACATGAAATCCTGGGATGTTTTTAACACGAGGGAAGAAGCTTTCAGGGCCTTCCGGCAGAAGCCTGGGACGTCGAAAGCGGCCTGGAACTCGGCACCGGCACAAAGTGCTCATGGATGGTTTGTACAAGAAGGAGCCACGTGACCACAGATGTTCCAAATCAAGACACCAAAAGCAACCTTTGACCTACTTTTTCACAACCGTTCCCTTTGTGGACCATGTACAGTTTGTATGATGACCGAGGATTGTTTTATATGCGTCATTCCGTTGTTTCTCTTTCAAGTGAATAATAATAATAAAAAAAAATATTTTTCAGTCTGAGTTGGTTTGAACTGTCGAGGTCCAACAAGAACTTTTCATCCATTCATCTGTTTCTAACATCGCTTATCCTGAATTTATACTCAGCAGCCCACACAGGAGTAGATATGTTAATGTTTTGGGAGAAAGTATAAAAACAGTATTACAAAAATGATTTAACATTCCAAACATGATGTGATTCCGAGACTCCAATGAAAGAATTGGATGCAGCTGCAAATCAGATGTCTCCTCAAGATGGTTTCACCTCGGAATTTGTACACTTTTTTTTTTTCCTCTGAGAAGAAAAAAAAAAACAACTATGTATTGCTCCGAAGCAACGCATTAAAACGAGTGATTTAATGCCAACAACGAAACAAGAAGTCTTTCGGCCGTTACATTCGGTGTCAAAAGTTGGTGAAAAAGTCTGCGCTGAGGTTTAAAAAAAAAAAAAAAAGGCTCCCCCGATCTACCGTCCTCAGTATGACGCATGCGCAACAACGATTTGCTTCAGGCTTGTGCGATTGGATGACCCGCCACCTGAACCCAGACGTCCTCATGAATTATTCACGAGTCGCCCACCTTCAGCCAGCCTGGCTGAAGAGCGCAGCTCAGGACGTCTGATTGAGGTTCTTCTGCACAACCGGCGTGCCGACATTCCCGATTGGCCCTGAACGCAGCGCCAGCAGCAGGCTGAAGATGGCGGATTGCATACGTGTTCCTCACCTCCTGCTTTTCTTGTGCGTCTCGTCGTTTTTCCGGCTGTATCGAGCGGACGGCAACGGCCCGGCCAAAGCGTGGCCCGTCGCCGCCAACTTCCAGAACCTGCCCGGCGCGGTCAACGCGGGAGCTGCCGCTGAGAAGAACCCGGGCGGCGGCGGCGGCGGCGGGGCCTCGGCGTCTCGGAAGCGCTCCCCCGCCTGGAAGTTGTCCGAGCAGGCGGTGTGCAGGGACGACCTGACGCGCCTGTGCTCCAAGGACACGTGGAGCAACAATCTGGCGGTGCTCGAGTGTCTCCAGGACAAGAAGGAGGTTGGTGGCTGCTCGTTCGTGGCTTTTGGGGAGCGGGGAGTGCCAGCTAAAGCTTAGCTGCCTCCGTTAGCCACCAGCTAGCCCACGTCCACAGTGGACGTCACGCGTAAACCCGATCGCTATTTGAACAACTCGGACTCTCCGGCGCTTTTACACGGTTCACATTGAGCGGAGAATTTTGCTCAAAGCTTTCACGGGGCGTCCGCGCCCTGCGGTTCTGTTCGGCGTGTTGCTTTTTTTACAACAAATAGTTTCCTTGCCTTGTTCTCGACGTCTCTTTAAGGTCGATTTTGTGTGAAGTGTCGCTTGAGTTTGGTTAAAAGGCGCCACGGTCGGGAGTCGAAAAAGCTTGATGAGAGACGAACGAAAAGGCGCATTTGCAAAAAAAGTGTCCGCCGAATCCACCGGACGACGAGCCTCTTCTCGGACATGTCAGCCGACGAGCAGCCTCTCACGGGTAATTTCAAGTCATCGCTGGAACATCCAAAAAGCAGCATACTCGTTTAGGAGTTCGCGAAGGTGTGATCAGCAGCTCGGTAGTGTAGTGTCAAAGCACCCTCAAGGGTTCGTTTGGCGAAAAAACGGTAGACTCTAAAAAGGCGTAACGTAAAAAAAAAAAAAGTAATATCACCTAATATCCCAAAACGGACTCATCGTCACCCAAATACATGTGCACATCTCTACTCATGCCCACTTCAACCTCTGAAAATCTCAGAATGATTGCCCCGATATTTAGGATTTTATGGACAATAAGCGTTTTCATCTCCACCGAAAAAGCTTCTCGTGGCTTGATGTCAGAAAACTGAGGTCATTCGTCACCAAAACATGTAGGCATCTCTGCAAATAATCCTACGATTACCCCAATATTTGTTTTTTTTGGGGGGGTGCTCTTTATGTCTCTATCGATGTTCACAGTAGGTTGATCGTTGGGGCAATCGTTTAATAATTTTATCGGTTGAAGTGGGCATAAATAGAGATGTCCACATTCATTTTGGTGATGATTAATCACTGCTTTCTCGATAGCGAGCGTTTGTGGCTGGCATCAGCAACCTGCGGGTCAAGAGTTTAATGTCCTTAAAATTGAAAAAATATTGGGGCAATTGTTAAATGCTCACAGGTTGAAAATGAAAAGGGCAAGTCGGGATGGCCGCATACATTTTGGTGGTGCTCACAGTTTTTCTGACAGGAAGCAACATGAATTACGCCGACGTGAAGCGGTTCACACCGTCCCCGTTGAACTGAACGTGCTGCACAACATGTCCGCCTTTTTTGCTCCGGCCGCCACTTCCGGCGTTTGCTTGTCTTTCACTCTCGAGTGAAAACGAGCGCGAGTGTCCCAGATGCCTCCCGACCAATCGTTTGAGGATGTCATGCTACACGGCCCACGACGTGTCAAGACAACTCAAAATCGGCCGCGAGACACTATTGGATGTTTTTCTGCAACGCGTCTTTCGGCTCCAAATCGCGCGACGTTCACGTCGTCTGATGTCCGCATTAATGCGCGTTTGTTTCTTTTAAATCAGAAAAATGCATTTTCAATTTTATCGGTTGGTTTTGGAGAAACTGGTCGATAAGGAGCTCCCATTTAATGTCAATCCAATCCAAAGTATTGTGCCGACGGCGTTTCCATTTTCGCAGGTTAAAGTGGGACATGACCGGACCTGTGCATGTGAGTTTGGGTGACGATCGGTCACCATCTTGAGACACTCGGTGACAACCGAACGCGACAAAGCAAGCCAGGAAACAATATGACAATGCTTGTCGACGTGATACGGCAGTGCCGATGTTCAGCCCCGTCACAAATCCCTTTTAATCCGCCAAACTCTGTCCCGTTAGGATTTGTTTTTTGAAAAGGCCGAGTGATAAATCAGTCGGCCCTTTTTAAAACTTGTTTGTATTTCATTTCTTACCTCCCCAAACAAGTTCAGCCTCCAGCGGACGTGATTCCAAACGTGTCTTGTGATCATTTGACTTTCTGTGGAAAATGAGCATTTGTGCTTGCTCGTTCGTCACACTGTTGGCCCAAGATTACCGAAATAATCCAAGTCAGTCTATCAATCATCTTTATTTACAGATCAAGGTCCAGGCATAGACAAACGTGACACACAATACATAGCTGAGAACAACGCAATGGACGAATATACGCTAAAAGCGTCAAGGGAGCCAAAAAGTGCGACGAGTGTTGACGATGCGGGGGGGAGCCCCCAGCGAGGAGCCAACCAACATGGTTTTATGCTTCCATTTGGAATGACGTGCGGGACAAAAACAAACAAAAACAAGCACCTCAAGAATATTCCAAATTTCAGTGAGCTGATTGGGGGGGGGGGCTTCATGTTGGCTTGCTGTTTGGCAGTTTTGTGCCATCCATGAATGGGAATTTTTTTTTTTGCAAGAGAACGCTTTGCACTGCGGGGGGGGGGGTCATTTTATTTTGTTTGCTTCAAATTCTTTGTTGTTGGGTTGTTGCATGATCAAAAATGAATGATATTAAGAGCGTGTACTTTGCGTGGATGCACGTCTGTCGCGGGTGCCGTGCAGCTGAGCGCACGAACGCGAAGGCCAGCAGCGAGCCGGGTGGGGCGTCTCGCTGCTTTTAGACGCACGGTATTTTTGGTGTGTGTGTGTGTGTGTGTGTGTGTGTGTGTGTGTGTGTGTGTGTGTTGTGGTTTGGTGGACGTGGACTTCCGTGGGAGGAAGAAGATGACAACCTCATTGGGCGGAGGGGAGGCGTCTGCTTACATCGGTCACAAAGATTTCATCATGTGTGGATGAAAATAGACGGCGCAGAATTGCCCGCTTGTTTATTCTCGAAAGTTTTTTCTCACTCGATACAGCAACGCTTTGTGTACGGACGACTTTGTGTGGTTTCACGCTTTGTGTACGAAGCGCTGTTGACAATGACACAACCTGGTGGCGATGACGCCACCGCGGTTTTGACTGACCGAACGAATGAGCGTAACGCGACGCCTTCATTGTTGGAGCTCGTTCCACCAGCTCTCGGTCGTTTGTGACTTTCAATCCTTTTGTTCAAGACGACGCGATCTCCAGGCAGCGTCGCCTTGTTGTTGCGCGTTTGCGGTGGATGCGGTTTCGCGCTCTTGTCATGTTTGCCTTCACCTGAGATTCTGATCAGCGGCCAAGAAGGTGTTTGGCGCACGTAGCAGGATGTGGGCGTCTCCTGTGACTTTGCTGTGGCGGAAGTTGGTGATACTTGCGATGAAGGCCAAATGACTTTGGCGGGTATTTTTTATTTAAATGTATTTATTTGTTTGGATAAAATCGGCTTTGCCGCTTCGGAAGTGTTTCCAATCCGAACAAAAACTGAGATAGCGTTTGTCGTAGGAATTCAAACGTTGCCTATTCATTTTGGATAAAAGTCATTCAGTTTCATATTTTGTGTGTGTCGGGGGGGTGGGGGGAGATTAAATAAAAAGTAGAGGATAGGCTCCAGCACGCCCACGCCCCTTGTCAGTCGAAGCGGTTTGGAGAATGCCCTCGTTCCAAAAGACAGGAGCTTATTTCAAATTGACAGTGCAGAAAATTCACACTCCTAAATTAATTCTGGCTCGGTTATTGGTTCGGCCCGTCGGATCGCTGCAAACGTCTCGACTGTTGTTTTCCAAAATAAAAACACAAAGATGATCAGTCTGCTTGCATGGATGATTTTTGTGCTGTCGCAATCACGTCCCGAGATTTGAATTGGCCCACAGCTCAAGTTAGGGAGACGTTTCATTGGTTCCCAAAAGTAGGAAAGTACTTTAAAAAAAAAAAAAAAAGCCACTTCATCATTTATTCCGAATCATTTTGCACCCCCATTAAGCTACAACTGACAAGAGCACCTACATGAAGAAGCTTCCGGAAGCTCCTCTCGCTGGCTCACCCTCTTTGTGTCTCGTTTTTCAGGAGACGGACATCGCAGCCGAATGCAGCCATGTAAGTGCGGAACGTGTGAAATGCGTCTCGACCGCAAGGCTCTTTTTCCAAAACCTCTTTTTTTTTTGTTTCTGTGTATGTGATGTAGCTGCTGTGGAACTACAAGCTCAACCTGACCACCGACCCCAAGTTTGAGTCGGTGGCCGTGGAGGTGTGCCGGTCCACCATCTCCGAGGTCGGTGCAAATGTCACCGCCCTTGCTGGCAAAACGTTGCCCGCGCGTGCGCTAAATGAAGTCGCGTCGGGTGCCCGCAGATTAAAGAGTGTGCGGCGGAGGAGTTGGGCAAAGGGTACCTGGTATCGTGCCTGGTGGACCACCGTGGCAACATCAGCGACTACCAGTGCAAGCAGTACATCACCAAGATGACCGGCATCGTCTTCAGCGACTACCGCCTCATCTGCGGCTTCACGGACAAGTGCCGCGACGACATCAACACGCTCCACTGCGGCAGCATCAGCTCGGGGGACAAGGTGCGGCGACGGCACTCCGAAGCATGTCCAAACCTTTGCCCTGCCATCGTACACTTGGGGATTGTATGTCAACGTGGGCCATTTTGGAAATAATAATAAGCAGCATTTGGCTACGTCAAAGACCGGCAGCCATGCAAAATAAGACAAGTGAGCCCACCTACGAGTTCTTCCCAATATGAGTCACAATTCGGATGATTTATTTATTGATTCACTTCCGCCTTTGACTTGCGAGTGAAAACTTGACTTACGAGCGCCATATGATGCCAGTAAGCCAAATGCGGTCTTTTTGCTCACGGTCATCATCCCGTCAGAATCGAATATGAGGCCGCACCGAGTCTGTCCTCAGCGCAAAGCCTTAATCGGCAATCAAGAATCATAATTGATTCATTTTGAACGAGTTGTGGGAGGGGGGCATTGCGTGCGGGTGTTGAGGCCGGCGGGGTTTGCTTGTGTTTTGCGGCAGGACGTCCACTCGCAGGGCGAGGTGATCGCGTGCCTGGAGAAGGGCCTGGTGCGCGAGGCCGAAGAGCGGCCCGGCGCGCACGCCATCAAGGACGAGTGCAAGAAGTCCATCATGCGGGTGGCCGAGCTCTCCTCGGACGACTTCCACCTGGACCGATATCTCTACTTTGCCTGCCGGGACGACCGCGAGCGCTTCTGCGACAATGTGAGTCTGCCGGGTTCCGGCGCTGGGGCTTTGTGCGCAACGTTTGCTTTGCAGCCACCCCGACACCTGAATTTGTGTTCAATTTTATTCAAGAATCAGGCATTTGTGTTTTTGACACATTTGAGATGGATGCGGAAGGAAGCGGAGACATTTTATTCCACTACGCAGAATAGAGAAAATTGCTGATGGTAAAATTAAGGGCTGCATCCAAAACAGAAAACAAAAACCCAAACGCCGAAAGAAAAACTTTTTTTTTTAAGATGAAACGAACGTGATCAAGGATGTGTTGCGTGCGTGTTTAACGTGTGCCCGCCTGCTCTTGTGTGTTTGCGCAGACGCTGGCAGGGGAAGGTCGCGTCTACAAGTGTCTCTTCAACCACAAGTTTGAGGAGGCCATGACGGAGCGGGTGACTAGCATCTTTGGCGCTACTCTGCATGTCCCCGCCCCAAAGTGTCCCGTCCCAATGGCGCATTCAACGGAAAAACGTCCGCATTGTTCACGTTCCAAAATCATCGCGGTCACGTCATTCAAATCACCTTTGGGAATGATTTTCTACGTCTCAAAAATTCCCTCGTTGAAAATGAAGATAAGATCACCTTTATTTGTCCCACAAAATTCCCGCCTTCAATTCTTTCAACACGTCTTCATCGATTCAAACCGTGCGAACTCCCAAATAGTTTCCACATTCAGGAAATTCTCTCTCTTTCCACATTTCATTCCGCAGCATTTCGGTTCATTTTGGCCTTTTCCGCATTCACCCTCCATTTCTACTAAAACGGGATCAACTATGTTACAACACCGGCCGAAATGCTGTCGGGGTTGACACGTCATGCGTCTGCATTAGTTTTTCCATTTGAAATTTTAAAAATGTTTGTAATGCGAGTGGCTAACGCGTGTTCCCGGCCGTGCGTTCAGTGTCGCGAGGCGCTGACCACCAGGCAGAAACTGATCGCCCAGGACTACAAAGTCAGCTACTCGCTGGCCAAAGCCTGCAAGTCGGACCTGCGCAAGTACCGCTGCAGCGCGGACAGCGGCGTGCCCCGTGCCCGCGAGGCGCGGCTCTCCTACCTGCTGCTCTGCCTGGAGTCGGCCGTGCACCGAGGTACTCGCCGACCGACCGACCGACCGACCCGGACGGCCGCCCGCGGCCCTCGCTCCGACGCGCCTTTGTGTGTTTGCGGCCAGGTCGCGTGGTGAGCGGCGAGTGCCAGGGCGAGATGATGGACTACCGCCGCATGCTGATGGAGGATTTCTCCCTGAGCCCCGAGATCGTGCTGCACTGCCGCGCCGAGATCGAGGGCCACTGCTCGGGTCTCCACCGCAAAGGCCGCACGCTGCACTGCCTCATGCGGGTCGGCCGCGGCGACGCGGGCGCCGTCGACCCCAACTGTCAGCGCGCGGTCAGTAACGCGCCCCCCCCCCCGCCGTCGTCGCCGGAGGTGGCGAGAGTCGAACGGAAGCCGAAAAGCTTTCGCCGGCAATCGAAACTCGACCGGAAACAAAGAAAAGGCACAACTGCGGCGTAAACAAACACTCCCAAAAATGCAAAACACGCAAAGCGCACAATAACGTGCGCACGCAAAACACAAAATGACCCTGCATAAAATTCACAAGCATGTGTTATGATTTAGTGAACCGCACAATGCACAGGCTGCTCTCTAGTATGAGTTGCGGGTGGAAAAAAAAAAGCGAGAGACTGGACGCGTCAAATTGAGCAGCGGTCTTGATGGCGAGTCGGACTGGCCCCCATTCGACTTTTACGCCTCCCGTTGACGACCATCCACCGCATGCGTCTTCCTTTCTAAAGCTCCTGTCTTGGTCTCTTGTTTTTGTGTTTTTTGGGGTGGGGTCCTCCCTCAGCTGCAGACGCTGATCCAGGAGGCCGACCCTGGCGCCGACTACCGCATCGACCGCGCGCTCAACGAGGCCTGCGAGTCGGTCATCCAGACGGCCTGCAAGCACATCCGCAACGGCGACCCCATGTCAGAATCGCACTTTCTTCTCTTTTAAAAAAAAAAAAGTTATTATTATGATTTGAATTTTGAAAAAAAATGTCAGAAGGAGTCAGAGAAAAACTGCGCTGGCGCCTTGCGTGTGTTCTGTTTCTGCCATGTCGGGGTGTGTGTGTGTGTTTCAGTTTTTGTTGTGTTTCTGTTTGTGGATGCCCAAAAACATTCTTTTTTTTTTTTTTTTTTTTTTTTTGTTTGTGTCCACTTGTATTGTTTTTGTGCGTGTGTGTGCGCGCGTGCGTTGGAGGATTTTAAGGTCCAAGTTGAAACTAGGACACGCGCCGGCGTGGGTTTTCTCCGGTCACTCTGGCAAACGTGCACATTCCACCGTTCCTGCGTTGGCACCTCCACCTTTCTCGTTGCTTCTTTTGTTCAGGATCCTGTCGTGTCTGATGGAGCACCTGTACACGGACAAGATGGTGGAGGAGTGCGAGCATCGGCTGCTGGAGCTGCAGTACTTCATCGCACGAGACTGGAAGTAAGCCCCCACCACCACCCCTTCCCCTCGCTAACTTGTTGGTGCACCCCCGCCGCCACTAAGCTCGACGCGACCCCACGCAGGTTGGACCCCATCCTGTACAGGAAGTGCCAGGGCGACGCCGTGCGCCTCTGCCACACGCACGGCTGGAACGAGACCAGCGAGATGATGCCGCCCGGCGCCATCTTCTCCTGCTTGTACCGCCACGCCTACCGATCGGTGGATCAGGGCCGCAGGGTGAGTGAGTCGCTCGGGCGCACGGGGGGACGGGCCGGCCGCCAGGGCCTGCGAAGTGGACGGAACTCGGGCCCGAACGATTCATTGGCAGATTTGAGCTCTTTTAAAATGGGTCCGGGTGGGCGAGTGGTTCGCGCGTCGACCTCACAGTGCAGAGGTACCGAGTTCGATTCCAGCGCCGCCCTTTGATTTGCATGTTCTCCCCGTGCTTGCGTGGGTTTTCTCCGGGTACTCCGGTTTCCTCCCACATTCCAAAAACACGCACGGCAGGCTGATTGAACACTCCAAATTGTCCCAAGGTGCGAGTGTGAGCGCGGATGGTTGTGTGCCCTGCGATTGGCTGGCAACCGGTTCAGGGTGTCCCCCGCCTACTGCCGGAAGACGGCTGGGATAGGCTCCAGCACCCCCCGCGACCCTCGTGAGGATAAGCGGACCGGGAAATGGATGGATGAATGGGTTATGTCGAATTTTATTCTGCCAAATTGCCCCATTGGCTCCATCAAATCCATTCAAGCGGAGCCCTCGACGTAACCTTAGCAACCCGGGCTGACTGAGGACCAAACGCAAGCGTCTTTTGTCATGTACGCTCATTGACCGCCACGTGTTGTCATACGTAGCACCCAGTCGGAGTCACTGAAGAAGAAAACACCACTGTGAGTATTTTCTGCTCAATTGGTGATGAGGAGGATGCCCCCATGACACCCCCATTTATTGCGGTATACATTCCACACCCACCTGCAGGTGAAAATCATGTAGGCCATCATGTTTTTGGTCGTTTGACGCCTCGCGCACGCTTTGAACCCACTTGCAATTACCGAAAGACACCGAAAAGGGGAACTCAAGCCACATTTTTTTTTTCCTTTGCAAGGATACATAGTAAGTCCGGCCGCAAATCAAATTACCAGAAGAAGTACTTACCGAAGTGCGGCCGGAACTGCGTTCCAGTGGAAAGTCAGCAACCATGACCCGCAAAATGAAGAAGCGGCTTCGGTCGGGCTGTGCACAAATCGACGGTGACCCAAATGGAGAAGAAGCCTTTTGGCCGTTAAAAATACGCCATTTGGGGATTCTCACCCATGCGTAGCAACAGCCTAACAATGTCTTACGCTAACTAAACGCTAAATTGAAACGTTCGCATTACAATCGATGTTATTGCAGGAGGTGTGAACAATGAACCGCAATATGTCGGGGGAGGGGCTGTATTTTACACCTTTTGTCCACACGCGAACTCGGATCAAGTTTGAGCTGGTTGATAAATGGCCTGAAGGAGAACTTGACTGTGTGAACAATTTCCAAAAGGTCATTTTTCAACATTTATGTTTTTTGTTTTTTTTTCCTTCTGTTGAATTAAACTCCGGTTTCAGACTTTTCCTTCTTCAGGCTTCTGATTGGCTAAGATGCTCTTCCAAATGAGGGTGCGCTGGAGTTCTCACGTGGACAAAAAGGATGTTTGGTTTTTCCCAAATTTGTCGACGCGGCAGCTTAAATCCAAATCCGTCTTGACGCTTGGGAAACTGATCGTGGACTCATAATTGTGGTGGCAAACTGCTCAACTGTCATGTGACCAACGGTCGCCGAACTCTTCCCTTAAAACGATGCCATGCGTTCCAATCGACCCGCGTGGTGCCTTGACTTATGAGTGGCCCGACTTTTTGATCCCCAAGTTACAAACTAGCCTTAAATGTGACGTGAAAATTAAATGGAGCCGTTTTGGCGCTGTGATGCCCTGGCCTGTGGGCAAGGAGAGCCACAGTTGGGCAAACAGTCCAACACACAAATCCAAAATGACACCACTCCTCAAATGACTTAAGGGGTCAACTCGACTCCAGAACAACTTGCATCTCAAAACTCCCACGTCAAGGCACTCTTATTTCAAAACACCACCGAATGTGTCAAAATTGAAGCTCAGGCACAGCCCAAGCGTCCTGTGGAATCACGGAGGCGAATGAAACGGGGATGGCGGGGTGCGGAATGTGTCCTTCTGCCTGTTGTGATTGCGAATGCGGATCTTGGCGCCTGCCACAGCTGTCGCGGGACTGCAAGGTGGAGGTGCAGAGGATCCTCCACCAGAGGGCGCTGGATGTGAAGCTGGACCCCGATCTGCAGCGGCGCTGCATGACCGACCTGGGCAAATGGTGCAGCGAGAAGACGGAGGCGGGACAGGAGCTGGAGTGCCTCCAGGACCACCTGGAGGACCTGGTCCCGGACTGCCGCAACGTGGTGGGAAACCTGACCGAGCTCGAGTCCGAGGTAGGCTCCGAACCGCCAGCCGCGTGTCCAAACTTTGCATATTCCGCCCAGCATGGTTAATTTTGGGCCACATTTAAACGTAGCCGACTCAGAGAGAGAGTGCAACTGTGTTCGTGTAGCGGTCTCTCTGGCTACAGTAAAAAAAATAAGAAAAACATTTCCAAACTCACAAATCTTCTCCCAATATAAATGACGTATCGTGGCCAAAGATCAAGGGAGAGATGTTGCTTTCTGTACACGATTGAAGATGGCAGGATGGAAGAGAGTTTGATATTTGGTGGAGGAAAAAAAAAACTTTCCTTTTATCATTCTTTGTTCAATCTGTCAAGCATCATAGCATGCCGCCACCCAATGGTTCACGGTGGAATTACACCCAAAATAAACAGGAGGTGGAAAACTAATACAACTGAACTGGGCACAAAAAAACCCAAAAAATCCTAAATCTGCAATTTCGGGTTGTCGCAAACCTACGAGCTGCACTTTGGGGTCCTCATGATTCAACCACAATTGTTGCCCCTCGAAGAAGGCTTGTCGGTGGCAACTATGCACTGTTTTTGCGGCGCCACAGCTACTTTGTTCGAAGGCCCTTTTGACTCTGCGCGATTGACGCGCGTGTGCTGTTGTGTGGCGTCGGCAGGACATTCAGATCGAGGCGCTGCTGATGCGAGCCTGCGAACCCGTCATCCAGGCCCACTGTCACGTAAGCCCGCTTCCTCCGGCCGCCGCCAAGGATGTCATCTGGTGGTTGACGCCCCCCACCACCTCTCCCCTGCCTCCGCTTCTCAGGAGGTGGCCGACAACCAGATCGACTCCGGGGACCTGATGGAGTGTTTGGCGCGCAACAAACACCAGAAGGAGATGAATGACAAGTGCTCGGTGGGAGTCACGCACTTCCAGCTGGTGAGACACCCCCTTTTGGCTTTTATTTGTGCCGTCCCACGCGGCCCTTGAGCGCGCAAACGTCTGCTCCGGGCGTTCTGACCGCCTCTTTGTCTTTCATGTTTGCGTGCCCGCAGATCCAGGTCAAAGACTTCCGCTTTTCCTACAAATTCAAGACGGCCTGCAAGGAGGATGTCCTCAAACTTTGCCCCAACATCAAGAAGAAGTAAGAGTACTGTGACGTCGTCATTGTTGGGGGCGGGGGCCCGTTCAAGATCGCGGTGGGCCGTACGTGGTCCACGGGCCGCATATTGCGGACCCGGCGGCGGCTCGCCTGATGCGACGTGTTTGCCAGGGTGGACGTGGTGATGTGCCTGAGCACCACGGTGAGGAACGACACCCTGCAGGACGCCAAGGAGCAGCGCGTGTCCGTCAAGTGTCGCAAGCAGCTACGCGTGGAGGAGGTGGAGATGGTACGTACGCACGCTCGCTCGCTCGCCAGCAGTCGTGTCGCCGCCCGCTTCGCCCCGTCCAAACTGCGACGGGGCACTTTTGTCATCTCTGCGCCGGGATGTCGCGCGTTAGTGTCGCCTTATTGGGGAGGTCGAAGCGCCGCGAGGCCAAACGGCATCATGACCGCTCGCCGCTTTGCGTCTACAGTCTGAAGACATCCGACTGGAACCGGAACTGTACGAGTCGTGCAAGCAGGACATCGGCCGCCTGTGTCAGAACGTGGCCTTTGGGAACGCGCAGGTCAGCACGCGGTCGCACGCGCACGGGCGCCGGCAACGTGACGTGCGGTGACATGACATGACGTGTGACATGCGTGCGAAGGTGATCGAGTGTCTGAAGGAGAGCAAACGTCAGCTGACTCAGCGCTGTCGCCAGAAGATCTTCAAGCTCCAGGAAGTGGAGATGGTGGATCCCGAACTGGACTATCAGCTCATGAGGGTCTGCAAGCACATGATCAGGGTACGTCGCCGGGCGGACGTGCGGTCGAGTTTTTTTCTTTCTCTCTCTCTCTCTCTCTCTCTCTCTCTCTCTCTCCTTTTTGCTCGCGTCGGTCGTGCGGTAACGTGCGCTTGGTGTGCGCGTCTCGCAGCGGTTTTGCACCGAGTCCGAAGGCAAGAACGTCCTTCAGTGTCTGAAGCAGAACAAGAACAGCGAGATGATGGATCCCAAGTGCAAGCAGATGATCACCAAGCGGCAGATGACGCAAAACACGGGTACGGGCCGCTCCAAAAAAAAAAAAAGTTCTGATGACAATCGTGCGTTGGCTGCTTCGCTCGCCCGCCATTTTTGTGTCCTTTTTTTTTCTGGATTGAATGCAAAATGAATTTTCCCACCAAAAGTTCTTTTTTTTTGGGTTGTCAGACTTCCGCCTCAACCCGATCCTGAGGAAGGCGTGCAAAGCCGACATTCCCAAGTTCTGCCAGGGCATCTTGAACTCGGCCACGGCCGACGGCGAGCTCGAGGGGCAAGTCATCGCCTGCCTCAAGCTCAAGTACGCCGACCAGGTCAGACCGGCGGCGCAAAGCGCAACTTCCGTTGGCTTGTTTTTTTTCTTCAATTTCTCTTGCGCTCCTTCCTTTGCTTGTTGTGACGCACGCGCCCGTCTTGCGTTTGTCAGCGCCTGTCCACCGACTGCGAGGACCAGATCCGCATCATCCTGCAGGAGTCGGCGCTGGATTACCGACTGGACCCCCAGCTGCAGCTCCATTGCACTCAGGAGGTTGGTTCGCCGGCCCTCCGCCGCCGAGCGCCGCGCTAAGCTAACGCCCGCCCCTGCCTGTGCAGATTTCGCGTCTGTGCTCCGAGGAGGCGGCGGCGCAGGAGCAGACGGGTCAAGTGGAGGAATGTCTCAAGGTCAATCTGCTGAAGATCAAACAGGATGCTTGCAAGAAGGTGAGCACGTTTGCGCCGCGACGCGCCGAGAGTCTCCATTGAGTTATTTTGCCGCCTCCTCGTCGAGAGTTGAACAAAACGATTTTTCGCTTCCAACGTGGGCCGCCAACAAAAGTACAGTCGACCTTTCCAAATTTACAAACATTTCATGTTTGGAAGAAAACCCAACTGGCAACTTTAATTCTTGTTGAGAAAGACTTGAGTCTCATTTTGCTCAGGAGCCAAAGACGCGGTTCGCGCCCATTTGTACCTTACGCAAAAGGCCGCCATCGGGCCGCTTTTGAGCCCAGCTGTCTGCTTCCAAGCTGTCAATCAATCAATCAATCAATCAAGCAACGGTGCTTTCAGGAGGTGCTGAACATGCTGAAGGAGAGCAAGGCGGACATCTTTGTGGACCCTGTTCTGCACACGGCCTGCGCGCTCGACATCAAGCACCACTGCGCTGCCATCCCGCCTGGCAAGGGCCGCCGTGAGTACACGCGCGCGGGCCGCGCTCTTTTTGTTTTTGTTTTGTTTTTGTTTTTTTTGAGCAGTTCCGTTGGATCATCGGCTGTGTTGTCGAGAATAATCTCCTTTCACTTGCTTCAAATGTCTTTAGACATTGACTTCATGAATCTAAAACGAGGCCTTCATTGGCATAAAAATACCCGAACTCGATCTTTCAAGTCTTTTCGTGTCTTTTTCTGGCACCGCGCTTGGATCAGGAGCGCGGACCAAAAATGATGGTCGCCGTCAGTCAAGTGTTCACCTCCACAGGCCCTGTCGTTTGCTCAGCCTGCTCAGGTGGCGTTGACGTTTGAAGTGTGGTTTTGCTGACGCGCGGCGGCCGTTTTGCGTGTGCGCAGAGATGTCGTGCCTGATGGATGCGCTGCAGGACAAACGCGTGCGTCTGCAGCCCGAGTGCAAGAAAAGACTTCAGGACCGCATCGACATGTGGAGCTACGCCGCCAAGGTAGCTGTGCTTTGGGGGAGGCAAGGGGGGGGGGGGGGCTTGGTCGCTAGGGAACGTCTCGCTGCGCAGTGACGTCACAAAAAGCCATCCAGGCGACGTTTTAGCACATCTGCGCACGGCGACACTGCAATGATGTCTTTTTTTTTTTTTTTTCTGGCATCACTGCGCAGTGACTTTTGGGGAGATGTTTCTGGGTGGCGCTACGCCTTGACGTCGTCGTCATTGGGCAGTCAGGCTGGGCCGTACGGTGCAAAAAAATGATCGCAATAACTTTTTTTTTTTTTTCTCATTGTCTGAACCTGATGACGATTTTTTTTTTTTTTTTGACTGCCGGATTTTAAGCATCATTCCTGATAACTAAAGCAACTAGATCGTACTTCAAATTTTTATGAGCATGTGAAGTGCCGCCAATTTCAATCAAGTTGGGACGTTTTGTTGACCGTAAATAAGAACACGTGTTCAACCCGTATGCCATTGAATGCGCTACAAAGACAAGAAAATTCCAAGTTCATGATTAATTTCTGGCAACATGAAAGTTTCTCATCTTGAACATTGAACATCTTCTCTTGGTAGCGTATTCAAGTCACAATAGGTTGAACATGATTTGCAAATCGTTTAATTCTGTTTGTATTTGTGTTGAGCACATCCCAACTTCATTGGAATCGAGTTTGTGAAGAAAGGCCTGAAAAGATGAACTTATTTAACGAAACAATTTGTACTCGGCACTACACGACATGGAGAAAAATGTGACCGCAAAAAAGGGGAGAAAACGGGTCATGATGAAACGGGGTGCAACGGCCATTTCCGACCAGCAGAGGTCAGTGTTTGCCGACGAGAGACGCCAAAACCGACGCTGGCGTTTGAAGCGTGAAAAAGAGCCACCCGGGTCATCATGTTGGGGACTGTCCTCCACAAAAACAATCAAAGCAAGAGACGGCTTGAGGCCGAATGAGAAAAGTCTCCAAGTTGATTGGCTGATGGTCTGCCGTTCCCAGCCGATATCGCCGACCTGAAAGTGTTGGCCGGGGGCTAATTGCCGCCAAGTTGAACTTGGGATCAAGTCCCGGAATGGCGGCTCAGCGGGGGCGTGTTTGCGTGCGACTTAAGTTGCGTCTGGTGCAGGTGGCGCCGGCGGAGGGTTTCTCGGACCTGGCGACGCAGGTGCTGACGTCTCCGTCCAAGAACTACATCCTGACGGTGATGGGCGGCGGCGTGGCGCTGCTCTTCCTGATGGGCCTGTTGTGCGGGAGATTCACCAAACGCGTCACCCAGGAGCTGAAGGACAGGTAGACCCCGCCCGTGGCGGGCTCTGGACACGCCCACAGCAGGAACCCCGCCCCTCAAAGACCCTCCCAGAACGCTCAAAGTGGACGCCGACCACTCTCTAACTTGCCCCGCCCACTGCCGGAAGGCCCCGCTCATTTTGTTTTTCTTCGATTTCCCTTGCTGGACGGGGTGCCAGTTTGGGGGCTCGGAGGCCAAGGCGTGTCAATGTAGAAGGAAAAAAAAAGAAAAGAAAGTTGTCACATGACCTGCCTCGACAGTGTGCCGCAGTGACTCCACCCCATTCCAAAAGTGTGTTTGATTCATTGCCGTGGGACTGCTCGGCCTGCGGGGGCCAAGCAAATGCCTCCGCCCCCTCCCCTCACGGCCCCATTCCTCTTCTTAACTTGGCTTTTTTTTTTTTTTTGCTTTAAGGTGCTGCGTGCACGAAGGCCGCGGACGGATGCCCCGGTGCGCTGCTTTTTTTCCAACCTCACACCCGTGTCGTGAACGCAGCAGCGCGCCAGGTGGCCCTTTCTGTGATGTCATCATAGTGCCACGCTGTCACCGCACCGTCCGTGACACTTCGGGACATCGCTGTTAAAAGACAACACTGCGCGGCGATTCCATTTGTCTGCAGTTTGTGGCATCTCTTGCGCAGTGATGTCACAGCTGAATGATGTCACCGTCCCTAAAATAAAGACAGCACTGTGACGAATTGTTTTTACTCCACGTCGATGGTGCATAAAGATGGGATCCCCAAAAAAATTTTTTTTAAAAGGGTAAAAAGAACGTCCAAGAAAACATGACCGTGGGGTGATGTTAAGTTCAGTCGCTGTTTGGTGACATCATTCAGTCGTGCTTACGTATGCGCCGTCCATTTGGTGATGTCACCAGTTGGCTGGTCGGACCTGCAGATAGGTAGAAGATGTTTTTTTTCCACGTTTAACGTGCTGCTGAGGCGGGCACACTGCAGCAAGACCTGGGCCCGGGGGGGATTTATTTTGGAGTCATTGCACACGCATATAAAACAGTCGCTACTTAGCTCATTTGCCCGTAATGGTTTAAGTGGGACGTTGTTTCCTGTGCGCGCCGCCCGCCTTCCAACAAAAATGTCCTGTGCTGCGATCGGACGGGGGTTTGTGGCACGAGCATCGCCGCCACCTTTCGATCGGTGTCTTTAAAAGTGACTTGATGTGAGACGGGCGGCCAACTCCGAGGAGGACGCCGTTTAGTCTGCCTCTCGCGGCGATGGATCGGACCTCACGGGAGCCTGAGTGATGATGTCACTGCGGCGTGATGTCACATTGTGATGTCACCACTTTGGGACCGCGCCGAGGTCGTCGATTGGACTCTTGAGCGGGCGACTGCGGCTTCGGCTTTGCGCGAGTGCGACTTGTGGTTTTCTTTCCAGTTTTTGCCGCGGCGAGTTGTCGGGCTTTATTTGGCGCGGAACAAAATGTTTTTTGTCAAGGGTGTTTGTTGAGTTTGTTTGCTTTGGTCCACTTTTTCTTTTTTTGTTTTTTTTTTGTTGTTGTTGTGTACAGGTTTGATTGTGAACAGTTTGTTGAGAATAAAGTCTGCAAGATTTCTACTTCGGTCTTTCGTCTCACAAACACGCTAAAGCGGGGCTCTCGAGGATGCGTGTGGAGCGTGTGAGTCATTTGAAATCTTTGAAAGAAAATCGAAGTTCCCCTCTGATTGTGTTTTTCATTTGGGGGTGGGGGCACAGTGCATGCTCATCCTTTGGACTTGTTTCCGTGTGGCGTTTTTGCTTGGCCTTTCGTCTTCAAATCCAAAATGAGTTTGGTGTGTTGGAGCAACGGAGGCGTCACAAGTGGCGAAGCGAAAGTTTCCAAGGCGTTGTTTTTGTCGAGCATCAAAAGAAAACAATCCACGCCTTGTCGTGTCTTGACACATTTTATTGCTTTTGATTGAGCAAGGAAAAGAGGCACACCAGATACGTCTCGCGGCAGTTACAAGTGCATCGTGTCATCGCCGGCTGCTGACAAAGCCTCGATTGATCGTAAAATGTCAAAAGAGCAAACAATTCGGTGTTGGGCAAAATCGGATTCGTACAAATTGGAGCAAGGCTTCGTCATCCTTTCGTGCTTTTGGGACAATGTCGCCATTTTTCGAGACTTTTTGGAAAGACTTGGCTCATGCTGCCGAGAGTTTCTTCAGTTTATCACATTTGAGAGATCGCATCTACGGTCATGCAAATTTTCTTATTTCGTCCTTGGTGCTGCAACAGAATTTTTGCAAGTGGTCCTTCTGTTGAGGTGACTTTTTTTTAATCTTCATCTGCTCTCCATCCCAAATTTGGTCAGTGCGTCTCTTTTTAACACCGCGCGTTGTTCCTTGGCGTTTTTGTACATTTTGTCAAATTGCGATGACGAGCGTGGCGGCTGAGACCGGCCAAGTCTCAAGCGGGGGCCCGCGTCCCAAGTAAGCGAAGGGGGATTTGCGAGAGGGCAGGAGAGTCGCCTTCACCCTCGTGCGCGCGATCGTCGCTTTCGAATCAAGGGCAGACTACGTCCTTGACACGCTGGATGACGGGAAAGGGCCCCGCGGCACAGGCGACTCCATCGAAGTCGTCCAGTTGCAGAGAAGTCATGAAGGCTCCTCCAAACTCCTCATCCACAACGTGCTGGGCCTGGACGGGGCGGCAAAAAAAAATGGTTCACATCTGAAGGAAGGCCCCGAGAATTTTGCTTGATGATTTGACGTACCTTGGCGTCGATGGTCGCAGCGCTGTCAACGCGAACCGTGCTTGAAGACGCCGGGGCAACGCATGCCTGAAAGATGGACTCTGTTTGCCGTGGTGCCGTCTCATTGCTTTGAATGCTCTGCGGTCTCGGGTTGTACCTGGTATTTGGCCCAGATCTTTGGATTGGCGTTGTTGGTGTCAAAACCGTACGTGGCGATTCCCATGTTGAGCTTTGCTTTTGGTGCGTCCTTTGCTACCAACTTCTGCATTCCTGCAATCTAAAATGCAGGAAAAGCCTTGATGGGCAAGAGGACGGAAATCGGAAGGCTCGGGCCGAGCTTGCGCCAACTCTGAGCTGCCGCGCGCGGCGTCGACGCTCGCGCCGTGAGACACGAGTGGAATTTGCTCCCTGACGCCAAACATTGTTGTGATGTGTTTGTTTTTGAATGAGGGAAAACTCGCGCTCCACGAGTAAACTTGTGCTCTTTGGGGGAATAAAAAAAAAAACTGTCTGGCTTCAGGCTGAATCCTCGCGCCTCCCAAATCCTCCTCCCCCTTTTTCGGTTTGCTCAACTCTTGGCGTTGCCTTGTCGAAGGGAGTCAACTCTTTTCGATGGGGCAGTCACTTGTAAAAACAACAACCGGTCGTGTGCACTGACAACTCGTTTCGCTCTGTGACCAAATCAGACGTACATGCCAGCAAATGAGCTGAAAATGAGCTGTTGCGTGAATTCCCTGACAGACTGCTGAATCAATTCAAGGGAATGTGCGAGCGGCCCCCGCATCCTTCTGGAGTGCGAGCAGACGCCAAACTCTGTGCGGACACCAGCCCGACTTCTTGACCTCGAACCCCAGCTCGAGGGCTCCTGCCCCCGCAGCGAGTTTCTGTCGTTGGGGATCGAAGGCCTTTTACCTCCGCCCGGCTCACAGGCGATGCGGAAGGGGGGCCCACGTTGCCTTTTCGGGCTGCGGCCCCTGAGGTGGGCCCCGGTAACCCGTGTCCGGGCAAGGCAAAACCTGATCCAAATATCTCAAGGGTCTTAGGGGCTCTTTGTGGGCCGCGCTTTGTCTGTTCCCTGCTATCATGAATTCGACTGGCCGATTGCTTTTCCAGTGCAGGAACGGGACAGCGGCCCTCGCATCCGTCCCATGTTTCCCGCCTCCAAACTTTGCAGGGAAACATTCGGACGCTCCCGCGTCGCTTCGGCCGTTGGTTGACAGATCCCATTGGAGCCGATAATTCCACAGTGGGTCTCGCTTACCGCAGCGGCGAATTGGCCGGGAGTAGAAGTGCGGTCAAGATCAGCGGTCATCACGTTGAAGAAGTCGACGACCCTGGGCAAACGCACACGCACGGCAGTTATGGCCCATCGTAGCGTCAATGCGGCAAAGCTACCGAATGAGATTTATGCTTACAAGGCAAGCTGTGGGACCTCGTAACTGTAATCGATGTCAGAAGGCACACCGGATACGCTCGCGGTGAGCAGTCGCGTGCCTGGCATTTCTTCCAGCGCGGCATTCAGCTCCTGCTCAGCAAAAACGCCACCATCAAGCCTTTGGCAAACAGTCGGCAAATTCGCGTCCTGTTTCGAGGGGGACAATTTCCAAGATCAGACCTGCATGAGAGCTGTGAATCCTATCTTGTCTTGTTCATTTTCATGGCTTTGCGACCACAAGATGTTGACGCCATCGAAGCCAGCAGCATCCACGACGTTGATTACGGATGTGTTAAAAGTGGCCATGTTTAAAGGTGCGAATCTGGTAGATGAGAGGAAAAGGAAAAAAAAAACACTTGTTATGTGCTTCCAATTGGGAATTCTTTTAAGTGCTGTGCTGCCTTAAGATACGAGTCCGGTCTGTTTGTTTTTTTTGTCCCCCCCCACTTTTTGTAAAAGTGCTCGTTTGGTGGGCCGTTTGAGTCGTCTTTGCTTTGTGTCTTCCGTTGTTACTTTGAGGTGTCGTGCTTTTGTGCTTTCCCTTAGTGCGAAGCACATTGAGTTGCCTTGCGTACGACACGTGCTCGAAAAGAATCGACGTTGTGCAGCAAAATCAATCAACGCCTTGTCAAGCGCTGAACAGTTTGTACGTCGTGATTCAATCGATGTGGCGGTTTGATTCCTTGTGCTGCCCCTTCTGGTGTGCCCGCCTTGGTCACCAGGGGGCAGTATAACAATATAACAATAGACTTGTTCTATCGCTGCTCACGAAGTTGCCTTAACACGAGTCTCTTTGTGTCGAGGATGGATCAACAAATGCTTCGAAAGATTTGCCTGACAGCCTTTAACGATGAGCGTTTCTGTGGGGTTTTGCATGCTTCGTTAGCATGAAGCGAAGTGGGCCGCAATCTGCTCGGTGCGTTTTGTGACTCACATAGCGCTGCTAGTCTGGGTCAGATCGACTTCCAAAAGGGTTTTCGCGGTTGCGCTGCAATTGGAACAAAGACGTTTCCTTGTTATTGTTCGACGGATTCAACAACATCGCAAAAAGTGCCCCAAATCTGACCTCGGAAATGCCAAATTGAAGTTGTGATGATCCTGAATTGGCCCCCCGCTTGAGGGAATCACCATTGCATTATCTGGCTGGACAGATTTGAAGACGATGTGGGTGCACAGCTCCGGCTCCATGTGGGACGCCATGTTAAAGTTGTTGAGGTTGGCCGTGTTCAAGTTGGGAATGCTCTGGAAGGTGCACACCAGTTTTCGGGGGCATGTGGCCTCTGAAAGGTGAAAATGGACAGCGGTTCATCACGACGACGGCACGTTGGCTGCCAGGCACAAATCGGCGCAAGAGGGAAACTTACCCAAGTGCGCCACGAGCACGCACAGACCTGCGAATGAATTGCCACCTTCGTCACAACTCTCCAAACTTTCAAAATAAAACAACCATTCACAACACTTGCCCTCGGTGGCGCGCCTTACCTACGAGAAGAAGTAGCTTCTGCATCTTGTTGCTGGTGGGAGGGGGGAGGGGGGGGGCAAGAATAATACCGATCAAAGCGGTCACGCCAATCAGCCAACCTTGGATGACCTTCTCAGAATTGGATGTCACACAAAACGATACGAGCACTTTGAGAGAAAGGCGAGGCGCGATCAGGCCGGCGGCTGCCAACCGAGTGCCAAACTCGTTTTTCTTCAGACGTGAGCCGGCGATGCGAACCAACTTTGGATGCGCAAACTATTTCAGGCCAGATAGCAAAAAAATAAAAATAAAAAAAAAATAAAAACACCCTTACCTCTTGTGGAGTCGTTGGAGACAATTTACCAAAGAATCTGAATGGTTGGAAAGCACAAAAGTAAAAAAATCACTTTTATGACTTGGATGACAAAATTCTTTTCAACAGCTCCAGGAAATGAATGGGAAGGTCGACTGCATCATTTGGACATTTCTTTGATGGAAATGTCTTTTGGGCAAGGCAGCTTTAGTCTCCAGCTAACTCGATGTGCTCAACTTGCTTCGACTCGCAACTTCAAAACAAAGTACAGGAAAAAAAATAAAAATAAACGATACACTCATTGTTGGATTTTGGTGCAGCATCGCAACTCGATGCTGCTTCACCGCCTATGCTTTGAACTCTGGCCTCCAATATGTGACCTGAGCCTGCAGATCTTTTTTTTTTTTTTGTCCCCCGCCCCGTAAGCATTTCTTACGCGTAATCTGGACCGAAACTTTTCCCTGTGCTCAAGTTTTTTGTTTCCCCCCCCATCCCCCAGGTGACTCTGGTTTCTCCTGGCGTTCCAAAAATGTGCATAAAAGCTCAGAACTGCCCTTGGGCGTAAATCACGGGTCTTAAACTCCGGTCCTGGAGGGCCGCTGTCCTGCATGTTTTCCAAGTCTCCCTGTTGCAACACACCTGATTCACATGATCAGATCATCAGCAAGGTCTGCGGAAGACTGATATTGAACCTGTTCATTTGATTCAGGTGTGTTGCAACAGGGAGACTTGGAAAACATGCAGGACAGCGTTTGACACCCCTGGTGTAAATGGAAGGTTTTGAAGAAAATGCACCGAATGACGGATGACTTGTTGGAACATTCACAAAAGGTTTGCATCAAGTCAAACGTCCAAATGAAAGGATGAACTCAAGCATTGCGCATTTGTCACGATCGGGCTTGTTCACGGTTGTCGTTCTGAGCGCTCCAAGTGGACCCTCCGAGCTCAGACGCAGATGGCAAAATGCATTCGGCGCGACATGCACACTTCAAAGATTTTCACTTTGGAGCATAAAGCCGATCAAATGCAGAGCAGTGAGCAAATCGATGGCCGGCCAAGATCGACTTACCGAGTGGATGAAGGCTGCAAGAGTGAAGAGTCTCTCTGCGGAGGCGGAGAACTGATGCTCGACTCGGAGATGCTCACGTATTTATCTGTTGATGGGTGGCGTGACAGGCGATCATAGAGGGAAGATGAGGAAGGAATTCTAATTGCTTAATTGCTGTGATTAAGACTGTTTTAATGAAATAGTTGAAACTTTAATTGCGGGGAGAAAAAAAAAAATTCTCAAATGGCAGCCAAACCACCTTGATGTTCGGTAAGTCGTCGAGTATCCACCATGTGAGAGAAATTTGCTTTCACTTTGTGATGTTTTCCCACTCTGAGACTCCTGGAGGGTCCGAAATATCTGTCGGTCACTTCTGAATTTGGGCCGCCTTGGAGGAGCCCCGGTTTTGCTCAGGGGCTGTTTGAAGCATTCGTTTTTGTGGGGGTTCTTTTATTTATTTGTTTGTTCCTTTCTGCCTCTCTGGAAGCCACTGCGAGTAACAGCAGCCCACCACTGGGCTCTCTCAACAATGTAGACTTGTTTTTTGTTTTTTTTTAGCTTTAAGCAATCTTTGGATTTGACCCGACGCTTTGCGCTAGCAATAGCTAGCTGGCATGCACAGCAGCACCGAGTCGCCGGCTAGCCGCGAGCTAATGGCTCTCTCGCCGCTATCTCGCCACCAGCAGACCTGGATCGATGAAGGGCCAGATCAAGTCTTGCCTCAAGACTTGAAGCTTTCGATCCAAGGAACTCTGTGCACCCCACATTTGGGACATTAGGGCAGCATGCTAACTTAGCACTAGCAATCACTGTGACAGTATCCAACACTTGAACGTAGACAACACTCGATATGCGCGGCGCTATGTGCTAGCAATAGCTAGCTGGCACGCACGGCAGCACCTCGCCGCCGGCTAACCGCGATCTAGCGGCCCGCTCACCATTGGCTAGCCGCGAGCTAACGGCTCTCTTGCCAGCAACGGAATCATCATCCGTTCCTTTTTGTGCATATTCGGCAACATCGGTTTGAAATAATGTCCTGTTTTTCCCCAACCAAAGGGTGGGAATTGTTTTGTTTTTTTTTTATCTGATTCACTGATTAAGCAGAACAGAATTGACAGGCTTGTGGATTCTTCAAATAATTGTTTTTGTTGGTTGCAGCCAGAGGTGAAATGTCATTGCTGTTTCGCTGTTTCCTGATAGTGAGGAATCAGGAACATGATCAGTGTCTGCACATAAATGAATGGAAGAGGGAGCACATCGACCCCCCCAAAAAAAATGAATGAATATAATTACGTTACATCATTAATTATTGGCAATAATAGCAAATCCCATTTGTAAAAGTCATTTGAGAAAGTGTATTTTATCAAAAGTTTGTATCAAACCGGAAGCCCTTGGCATCAGTCAGAAGAAGCCAGGAATTTGCTCTCCTCTTCCAAACATTTGTGATGAATCCATAGGACGTGAAGGGCTTCGTAAATGGTCCTCAGACTTGCAGGGTAGGAGTCATGGTTCGTGCACGTGCACATCAATTTCACGTCCTCTGGCCCAAAAATGAATTGGACCACATTTTGTCACATTTATCTGAAAGGGTTTCATGAAAAACTGCTGGGGTTGGAATGTTTTTATTTTTTACACATTAACTAAGACTAACTTTAGAAATGTGGCCCAAATATGAAATGTTACACCTAAATGTAAAATCAGAATTAGATTTATTGCCCAAGTATGTCAAACACACAAGGAATTGACCTTCCAACCCGTCCTGAGGAACGCAAACCAAACGATGACCAGCAGGGGGAGACAGAACGGCAGGCCTCGTGGTTCGCAGCGATATCTTGGATGTAAAAAAGAAAACAAGAGGGGGGAAATACGCAAGAGGATTCGGGCCAATGACGATTGAAAAAAGTTTGGCAAAATGTACCTTTTTTTATGTCAGACTTCGGATTTTATTGCCAGATTAGTCTATTTAAAATCGGAACTCTGATTTTGCTCATTCTGACTTTAAAGCGAAATTTCAGACAGTAAACGGAGAGTCTTGCCAACCTTATTTTTGATTCTTCTTCATTGGCCCTAATACTCCTCACATTTCTGCCATCAAGTTTTTTATGCTTTCAGTTCAAAAGAACATTTTTCCAACTGTCTCATGAGCCAATTGCTCGCTCTGTTTTTGATCTCTCGGTCAGTGGTAAACTTTGTTCCTCTGGCGAAATCTTTGGGCAGCCCAAAGTCTCAAAAAATATCATGCATTGTTTTTTAAACGCTCTTTGAAAGTTAACGTGACAAAATGTTGCTTTTTTTTTCCCCGCATGCTCAACTTATGCCAACTTCGAAACCACAACCTTTCAAAAAATTCAGGTGGAATGTGGCACGCCGACTTTTGCGGACCGAGCCGCGTCCCGCCTTTTCATAGCGAGTTGATGTCAATTAATCTTCGCCAAACTCATCAACACAATTTATTAATTTTTAAAAATTCTATTCCATCACACTGCCACATTTAGATTTGTTTTAAAGATTTACGACCGTCCACGCACTGCGATGAATGTTTCCCTGTCTGTCTTGTCTTGTCCTTCTCGTCTTTCGCCGTTAGGGGTCGCCGCCGTAGCATGTCATCCTTTTCCATGTCAGGCTGACCGTCGGACGGGCTGTTTTTGTGTCAATTTTGCCCCGTCCCGACCAAAGACGTCAAAAGCCCCGCAATCTTTTGTCTTCAAAGAAAAGAGATGATTTCAAATATGACGGTTTTGAGTTCGGAGTGTGCTGACGATACAAATTCAACTCTCAAGGCACCACTGTCCAAAGAAAACTGAGACAAAATGAACGTTTTATTCTTCTCCTTTTTTAAATTGGTTTTACAAGCTATTCATCAGTGGTGTCCAAACTATGGCCCAGAGGCTATCCATTACATTTTTCAGCAGACCGTGACATGACCAAAAAAAAATATAATAAAAGTGACATTTGTCACGGGCTGCCAGCTTAGTTTAGAAAAAATAAAAAAAGGAGAAAGTGGAGCAGAGTGAGAAGGGTGTACTGTTGAACATTTCTCATTTATGATTAAAAGAAGAACACATTAAATTCAAAACGCTGTAGTGACTTCAGATTATTGAATGTTGGAGGCAAAAATGGTCACTTGACTTCCGTTTGTTCTTTTGCTTGGTTCTGAATGTGGACATTCAACTGCTGTAAAATGCAGAGCTGGATCTGTTCTGTGAGAGAGGGGAGGGCCCAACGATTTGCCTAAACAGCACCTTGAACAGAAAGCGGATGAAACGAACGAGACATCCCGAACAATCTCAAATGGCTTTCTTGACTGACTTTAGCGTGTTTCAAAAAGTGGAAGAATTTTCATGTGGCCCTTTCACCCTTCCATTTTTCCATAGCCGGCCCAAAAAATGAAAAAGGTTGCACACCCCTGGTAAAAAAAAATAAAAAAAACTAATTTAAAAGGATATTTCTGATCATAAATCCATCGCGTATATCTCCATCCTTTGTCATGTTTCGGTTTGTGACCAACAGGTGGCACTGTGGGGCTTTTCCCTGCAGCTGCACACCTGTTGGTCGTTAGGTAATTAGTTCTACAAATTGTTGCTGTTAGCTACTGTCATGTTTGTTTGTGGCTGTTTGCATGCTACTGTCATGTTTGTTTCAGTCAGGTTTTGGTCATTGTTATTTTTTTTATTTTCAGTCATGTGTTTTGTTTGATACTTTGGACTTTGTTTGTTTTGGATTTAGTTTTCTCTGTTTTAATACAATTCATCAAGTACACCCTGCTCCTCCCTCTTGCCTGCTTTTTGGGGTCCACCACCACCACTTTGCAACGTGACATCCTTGACTTCTATCCGTACTACTGAGAATTTGCAATGAGAAAAAAAAAAGTATTTTTCGATGTGCAAAGTGAACAGGCTGTTCAGCAAAGGAGATCGACTGGAAAAGACGGGACGGTGGCACAGCACAAAGTGAAGGGCGCTGAGGCGAGGGATGACTGCAATTTGCTTTGTGCTGTGTTTTGATCATCAACATTCAACTCCAGGCCGGAGGATTTCCCGTTAACGATCGTTACCGGTAGCGTGTCGTTTGAAATATGATGAAACAGTCTTGGTTATTCTATAATGTACTGGTTGTAGCATGGTAACTTTAGGAAAAAAACATTCGTCACAAAGTGTAGTAATGCTAATGTTAGCTGTCGGTCAGTAGAACTAATGATGACGTGTGGGAGATTCTTTCGTCAAATTGATAGTAGATTACACATGCGTCGTTTTGGGAAGAGGATGTCAAGCCACATCAATACTTCCCTGTATTCATGATGACCAGAAAGTTAATATTTGCAGTGCGAGACTGGAAAAAATACTCTGATTTTGTGGTTATGCTGTATTCATGATGCCATATGAGTACATCATATTTTGATCCATTTATTTTTTTGGGAATAAACCTGGAATACACAGCTGCTGATGTCACGTTCATTGTGAATGCAAAGTTTTCAAACATTTCCCCTTGAAACATTATACTTTTGAGTTTCAGAATTCTTGCTTATGAATATCAGTCAAAATAGAAAAATGGGTTCCCATGATCAACGTTTACGGAACCCAAAATTAGTTATCTTAACGTCTCAGTTGGACTTTTGGCATGTTCCTGCCTGAACCACAACAGGTGCTTTTTGCATTTGGGCCCAGCGTACCTTTCCAGAAGGCCAAAACCTAACAAGTGGTTTGTTTGTACGGCAAAGAGCAAACAACCTGTTGATTCACGCCTTTCATTCTATTCTGTTGAGTGAAAACAAGTCCAATCAATGTGACAACATCATCAGAGCGTAGTTATGAAAGAACGTGTCTTGTTTCTTAATTGTCACTTTGCAAAGGGCAAAAGTTGTCAACACCCAAAACACACCCTCTTACTTGGACCTTTTGAACATTTTTGGCAGGCTCTGAAACTCGGCTCGGCGAAGGCGTTCCTGACAGCGGGCCCGAAAGCAGCTCAGCCTCCAACTTGGTTGCCAAATGACTTTGGACGCAATCAGACCAAGCCTTGAATGAACGCTACCGCTTCACCAACGCATCGACATGCATTTTTTTCACTGTTTGGAGGCTACATCG